TCTGGGCAGAGGTCAACTGCTAGAATTAGACAAAGATGGATCTGCAAAAACTCTGGGTATTAACTGGAATCCAGAGAAAGATATATTTCAATACCGAATTTCGAATGAGACACTTAATTCGAAAATGCACACGAAGAGATCTATTTTATCACAAGTCGCACAAATATTTGATCCGTTAGGTCTGCTAGGCCCAGTTATCGTAACAGCGAAAGGTATTATACAGCAACTGTGGAAGATGCAAATTAGTTGGGACGAGTCGTTGCCTATGGATCTTCAGACAAAATGGTCACGTTACATCCTGGATTTGCAGGGTCTAAAGAAGCTCAACATACCACGGAAGATTATTGGTGGTTCGCAGGATGCCCGCAAAGAAATTCATGGGTTTTGCGATGCCAGCGAACACGCGTACGGTGCTTGTGTCTACATGCGCAGCATCAAGTCAGATGGAACGCCGGAAGTACATTTGATATGCTCTAAATCTCGTGTCGCACCTATCAAGGTATTATCCATACCTAGATTGGAACTCTGTGGCGCACAACTTTTGACCCAACTAATGGGAAAGGTTGCAGAAGCTCTAGAAGTCAACATTGATAGCAAGTATTACTGGACTGACTCATTAATCGTATTGCATTGGCTCCAGGCCAGCAATAAGAAATTACCGGTTTTCGTGGCGCACAGAGTCGGCGATATTCAAGAGGCGACATCCATCGAGGATTGGAGGCATGTTGGAAGCAAGGACAATCCTGCGGACTTAGTGTGGCATCGGCGCTAAGGAGTTGATAAGTTCACATCTCTGGTGGGAAGGACCCCGCTGGTTACATTGTAAAAAATTGCCAGAGAATCAACGTAGGGTAGCAGAATATGACGAAGGTCAACTTGAAGAGCATGATAAATCAGGAATAGTCGCAGTAGCCAGTTATTCGGAAATAAATCCATTTGACAAGTTTTCTATATTTAGCAGACTTATTCCGGTGGCAGCTACGTGTTTACGGTTTGCAAGCAATTGCAGAAGACAAAAACGGCATGGGCCTCTAAGCGTGGAGGAATTACAGGCGGCTACCAAGCGTCTGATAAGAAGAGAACAAGAAATCGCATTTTCCAAGGACATTAAGGATCTAAGAAGCAAAGGAAGTGCATCAAGTCGAAGCAATTTGAGACAATTGAACCCATTTATCGACGAAGAAAATTTAATACGGGTTGGCGGCAGGCTCCAGCACGCAAGCTTACAAACAGACGTCAAACATCCTTATCTACTGCATCAACGTTCAAGTTTCACAAGACTCATTATTGAGCATGAACATCGAAAACTCATGCATGCTGGAGCGGACGCAACTCTGGCTGCAGGACGACTCAGATATTGGCCGCTCAAGGCGCGCGGTACTATAAGAAAGCTATTGCAAGGGTGTATAAAATGCTTCAAATCCCGGCCACGATTTTTGGAGCAAGTAATGGGGAATTTACCCATTCATCGTGTAACGCCATCAAGACCATTCAGCTGTACAGGCGTAGATTTTTGCGGACCGATATATGTTCGAGAAGGTTCACGCAGAAATAGTAAAAACGTCAAGGCTTATGTCTCAGTATTTGTTTGTTTGGCAACAAAGGAAGTTCATTTGGAGGTGGTCTCAAACATGACCACTGACGCATTTCTCAACGCGTTCAAGAGGTTCATCGGGCGAAGAGGCAAGCCATCCGATATATTTTCAGACAACGGCACCAACTTTGTCGGTGCGAATGCCGAGCTGGAGGAACTGCAAAATTTATTTAATCAAGAGGAACATCAGCGCAAGCTTGTGGAAGAAACGTCCATGGATCAAATTAAATGGCATTTCATCCCTCCTCGAGCCCCTCATTTTGGGGGACTTTGGGAGGCAACTGTTAAGACGTTCAAGAGACACTTCTACGGAGTTGCATCCAATGTGGCTCTCACCTTCGAGGAAGCATCGACGCTTGTAACCCAGATAGAAGCAATTCTTAACTCTAGGCCACTAATAGCTATATCTCTGGATCCTAATGATTTGGGTTATGTTTCAGCAGGTCACTTTCTCATAGGTGATGCAATAATATCCTATCCCGAACCGGACATAACCCAGCTAAAAACGGGACGGCTGTCTCGCTGGCAACACTTGGAGCAGATGAGACAACACTTTTGGAGACGATGGTCGTCTGAATATTTACTACAATTACAAGGTCGGACAAAATGGCATTCGAACCGTGGACCAGCACTCAAGGTTGGGCAGTTGGTGATCTGCAAGGAAGATGGATTGCCGTCATTAAAATGGATGCTTGGACGAGTGAAGGAGGTATTTCCTGGGGG